CACTGGCTGCAACCTGCAGGGAAGGCGATGCTCCTGGAAGGAGCCGTGGTTGTTCCCAAAGACAGAAAACCCCGGGAGGTGCTGGAGCAAAGTAAACCGTGTGGGGGAGGCTGGTAGTGGGGACATCCAGCCTCTCCATGCCTGTGTGTGCCCTGAGCCTATCACCACCGGCCCATCGGGGCTGGCAGCACACACACACACATATATATATAACACTGACTATACGTAGGTACACACGGTGTGTGTCTGTGCACCTATACCCTGACTCGGGGAGGAGGTCACTGCTGACCCTGCACGTCTCGGGGTCCCAGTCCTGTCGGAGCCCCTCTCGGGCAGAGCTGAGAGCAGGAGCGCGGGGCTGCACCGGGGCGCTCCTAAGGGTGCGGAGCGCCGAGGGAGGTTCTGCGGGCAGGGGGCGGGGCAGCCAGGGGCCGCCTCCCGGCGCGGCCCGCCCGGTCCCGGTGGCGGCGCAGAGGGCTGCGGGCGGCGGCCGGGCAGAGCAGGCGGAGCGCGGCGGGCGCCGTGCCGGGGACGCGATGCACTCGCTCTTCAGGAAACGCAACAAAGGAAAATACAGCCCCTCCGTGCAGAAGAAGAGGTGAGTGACCCGCTGCCCCCAGGCCGGCACGAGCAGCGCCGCGATCCTGCAGCATCCCCGCACGGAGCCCGGGCACACGCCGCTGTGTCGGCTCTTCTCCGAGCCGGGTCCCCACCTCTCAGCCCGCGTGCTGGCACAGGGAGGGTTTTTCCCCAGTCCCCTCGCAACGCAGTAGCGGCAGCTCCGGGGAGCAGGTTCCTTCGCTTCCCAGGGGTGTGCTGGGTCTGATCTCAGGGAAGACAAGCCTGGCTGTCCTTAGCCTTCAGCGACTTGGTCCACCAGGACCAATAATTTCGCCGATCGGCCTCCCCTCAGCCCTGTCTGATGGGGTGGGTATGCGTTTCAGCTGTACTGGTCGTAAAAAAGAGAGCAACGTGTTTAGACCAGGTTGGACGGGGTTTGGAGCAACCTGGTCTAGTGGGAGGTGTCCCTGCCCGTGGCAGCGGGGTGGAACTGAGTGAGCTTTAGGGTCCCTTCAACCCAAACCAGTCTTTGATTATGATTCATTCTACGGAAAGTAGCTGTTAAAAGGGAAAAGACATAAAAAAATCGCGCCCTCCCCCCAGCAGGCTCAGCCCCATTGTACGGGAGGGTGCTGGAGACTGGGCAGACCCAGCCCCTGCCTGCACCAAGCGGGTGACACAGGGGACATTTTTTCCGAAGAGGTGGCTATTTGCGTCAGTTCAGAATCGTGCCCGCGTTTCCCAGAAGAGCTGCAGCGGCTCTGAAGCATGCGGAGCGGGGTGGCTGGCGCACATTCGAGCCCATGGCTTGCTCGTCCTCCTCTCTAGAGGTACTTGCCCTGGCCGGCAGGCGCCGAGCAGACAAATCTCCCTCTGGGAGGAAACTGGGGAGCTGGTGTAGGGGCTGAGTGTCTTTGAGGACCCAGAAGGGTCTGACTGACGTCTTCCCGGGCGGAGAGCCCCTCGGTGCTCGCGGGTGCGGTGCCATGCGGTGGTGCACTGGAGGGGTGTTCCCCGAGGGAGAAGGGTGCTGCCCCGCGCGGGGCGCTCTCAGGCTGCGGTACTCGCTGAGCTCCCCTGCTCGGGCTGGGGTTCCAGCTCCAGCCCTCGAGCCGGCTCCCCCCAGCCCGGCTGGCTCAGCAGGGACGCCCAGGCTGCTGCTCCCAGAGCCTGGGGCACGCTCTGCTGCCAGCTTCTGCTCTGGGGCCGGCTGGCAGGAGGAGAGAGGGTGGCCCCGAGCTCTCTGAGGCTCAGAGTGCACCCCCCTGGTGGCCCCAGTTTTCTCATGGTCGAAGGATGGTGTAAATTGGAGAGCTGGGGCTGTTCAGTCTGGAGAAGGCTCCTTAAGGGGAGACCTCAGAGCAGCTTCCAGTGCCTAAAGGGGCTCCAAGAAACCTGGAGAGGGGCTTTGGACAAGCGCCTGTAGGGACAGGACAAGGGGGAATTGCTTTAACCTGACAGAGGGGAGACTGAGATGAGCTCTTAGGCAGAAGTTCTTCCCTGTGAGGGTGCTGAGGCTCTGGCACAGGGTGCCCAGAGAAGCTGTGGCTGCCCCATCCCTGTCAGTGTTCAAGGCCAGGTTGGATGGGGCTTGGAGCAACCTGGTCTAGTGGAAGGTGTCCCTGCCCAGTTGCATTTCTAGTCTTTGGGGGTGTTAGTGGGACGCTTGAAAAAGAGAAACACCACACCTGGGTTGGCAGCTCAGGACTCTGAGCAATTCAGGATGCTGGTAGGCAGGAGGAGACAGACCCACCCTGTGATCCCCACCCTGGGACTGGGGTACCTGCTGCTGCACCCTGAGCCTTGCCAGCACTGGGTACTCTCACAGCATCTGAGAACAGATGGGGCTTTGGAAGGTGTCCTTCCCTGTGCACCCTGCCCGAGAGCCCAGCAGTTCTGGCCTGTGCCAAAGCACCTTTGAAGGCTTCGGGCCAGGCTGAAATCTGCGTTTTTCTGGCTGGTGGTGGCCGAGTTGGCAGCACAGGGCTGAGGCCTCAGGCCACCCTCCCTCCCTGCACCTGGCTGTCCCTGCACACCTCGGGAAGGGCTCTGCTCATTAGCCCCAATTTGTTAATTCCTGTGTTGAAGTTTACAAACACCTGTGAATCCGGGGAACACTCCCACCATGTGGAAACAGCCCCACCATCAAGATGGGGAAGCCAGTGCTTGGACCGGTTACACAACTTGCTGGAGAAGGATTGCGAAGCAGCAGCAGTGAGAAGCTCCCCTCCCAGCCCCTGCTCCAGGCACTGCCAGGCTCCCGCCTGGTTTTGCTGCCAGGAAAACAGCAACAAACCTAAAAACCCAGACCGTCCCGCTGGGAACAGGGATGGAGATTTCGACACCGGGTACGGCCCGGGCTCACCCTGCGCTGCGGTGAGGCTGCAGGGTCTGCACCTCAGACCAGGGCTCAGTGCAAGGTGCTGCTGGTGATAAGCCCTGTCAGCGCCGTGGTAACAGGGCAATAACCAAGCTCCGGTTTGGCAAGTGCCGGGGCGCTGGAATGTTTCCTGCAAGCAGTGAGGAGCCAGGGCTTCGAGCTCAGCTGATGTAGTGAGGGGTTGCCCAGGAAGCACGTCCTACATCAGGTCACAGCCTGATGAGGAGCCCCTGTGTCTTGGTGGCTTTTTCAGCCAGGGAACAAGCCCTTCCCATGCTGGTTGTATCTCAGTGAGCAGCTCTGGAGAGTCAGGATTCTGTTAAGTCTGTGCAGCTCAAGACAGGCACTGTAATCTTCCCATGAAAACACTTTTTGTACCTCTGGATGCAGCCAGCCACCCTTCCCCAGCCCTGAAATCAGCCTCCCATCCAAAGCTGTTGGAAGCCTGTGTGCTTCCATACAACCACCTCTGCCGCTTGAGGCCAGCCAGCCCCCCCCCGGCGTTGGTAAGGAGGGAAGCCAGCCTGTTTTGCAGCTCTAATACAGCAACAGTGGGGAAAGAACAGGAGCAGCATGAAATCCTGCAAGGGTTTGAATACTTGTTGCCTGGTCCTGTGGCCTGCCACTGCTTGGCCATCCTCAGCAACACCAGCTGAGTCTTGGAGCACACTGGCTATGCATCGGAGGAAAACCCTGGCAAAGCCCTTTGCTGAGCACCCTGGACCACATCCCCTTCCATCCACCTCCCAGCGCCACTCACAGCACCAGCAGTTTCTCTATCCCCAGTGCAGGTGATGCTCCTGAATCACTCCCCAGGATCTGGTTTTCTGATGCACTCCTTAGCAGGACCAGGGTCTGAGTCTCTTAGTGGGAATATCGGCTGCAGCTCTGGCTGGGGCTTGTGGTTTCCAGGCTCAGTAGCCACCTCCATCTGATGCTGGGCACATCAGAGACGTGTGGACGTCTCCCTACTTTGGGGAATGTGGATGACGATATTTTTGTCTCAGGGAGTTATGCTTTTGCTCACCCCGTCCCAGTAGTATAAGGCCCTGGGGGATTCATGTGGGACTGGCTGTGACTACTGTGCTGTTAGCAGATTGTATATGTGTCCCTAGAAGGGAAAGCAGAAGCTTTGAATAGGGACATAGTATGGGGTGAAAACCCTCTCCCTCCTTCCCCATTACCTTCACCAAGCTCTTTGCCATGCTTGGAAAACAGGAGGTTGGTTTTCTCCGAGACAGTCCAGCCTGAGAGAGGGGGTATAAAACAGCTCAGCCTTGAGCTCCCAGCCTTGGAACTCACGCTCCTGCCACCAGGAAAGATGTTCATCCTCGGTGAGAACATCCATCACTGAGGGCTCTGGAGACCCTTAGTGTCAGGAGACCCAGTGCCCATGGATGAGGGGGTCAGGAGCTCTTCCTGCAGGGCTGGCATTATGTCTTGAGGCTGTGTGGTAGCACTGGAGTCAGCACTAGGGACCAGACAGCCTGTGAGTCAGGGGACCTGCTCTGTATTTACGCTGGAGCAAACCTCACCATCATCGCCTTGGCCTATTTTTGCTTTAATTTCCATGCACATTACAATCACCATTGCTACGAGGAAAGATAAATACAATTTAAACAAGCTGGACTAAGCACAACAGCCATGCTGTTCAGCTACGCCCTTACTTGATGCTTGATGGCACATTGCTCCAGAGTTTTGAGCCAGATTTTAATCTCTCCCAAACCTGAATTACTGAAGCCAAAGCCTAGCCCTTGTCCTCTGCCCTGCTGCAGTTTCACTCCAGTATCAGAGCTGCACAAGGGAGTATCATGCAGTGGGAGCTGTGTCTCAGTGAGCTTTAGGGGTGTTGATGGTTCTGTGCTGTGGCCTTCTGAAGGATTTGTGCAGTTTAAGTCCAGTCTCCAGCAGCAGTGCTCACATGGGTATGGGCTTTATGAAATCTGGATGGATGGAAATGAAATGGGAATGGAATTTAGAGCAGCAGTCACTGTGTCCCAGGAGTGGGATGCAGGAAGCAGGACCAGGATCCATGCCCAGACCCCATCCTCAACCAGCATTTGTCCCTGGCTGAGCATTCCCACTGTGGAGAAGCTCTGGGCATGGAAAGGTTTCCCAGCAGGAGAGCAGGGGTAGATCCAGCACAGAGCCCTTCCTGTTAACCCTCCCATCAAGTATCTGACCCACAGGACAAGCTCTCAGCAGGAGCCTTCCCAGGGACACCTGAAGCTGTCAGAACTCCAGGAGTATCTATTTGAACATCCTCACTTGGGGATTAGTGAAATGGCCTCCTTGTTTGGGGAAAAAAAAGGAAACAGCAAGCAAAGGGATTTCCTACCACCTGCCAGAAGGGCAAAGCCAGGGACAGCCCAGAGATGTCAGCTGTGGGGAAGTTTGCTCCAAAAAGTGCTCTTACCAGTGAGGGTGCAACCTAACGGGAAGAGATAGGAAGGTAGGAATAAAGAAAAAAGGCCAAGTTTTAGCAGCAGAGTTTCCATATCACAATAATTATCATTGTGTTTGATAAAAAAAACCAAAAAAAAAAACAAAACACCAAGCAACCAAAAAACCACACACACAAAACCTGAACAGAAAACCCCAAACCCAAAGAAAACTCAAACAGTGCATCACCTGAGGTCAGATGTGGTGCATGGATGAAGTGATGTTTGTCACGGAGCAGCAGCTGGGAGAAACTCTCCCAGTCCTCATGGGAATAATTGTGGGGCCTTAGTGCCAGACAGATGATGCTGTGGCTGCTCAAGGCAGCATTGGAGAGAAATAACCCTTCTGCCCCGTGCAGCTTTTCAAAGTGACATCAGTTCTTCCTCCCTCATCAGAAAAGGTTGGAGCTCTCCAGCAATGGCAAAGCCAGGTTTTCCAGGCGGGTTTTATTATTTATTCATCCTTCAAACAAAGGCTTATCTGTTAGAAGAAGAGCTCTGCATTCCCCCCCCCCCCGCCTCACAACGGCTGTGCCCCCGGCGCCTTTGCTCCTGCTCTTCCCAGCTGGGCCACAGCCAAATCCCACCCTCCTCACTCGGCTCCATGCTGCAGCCATCCCCTCCTGCGTGGTTTCAGGCTCTGGCTGCCCTTTCCCTTACCCTGCCCGCAGTTCTGCTCCACAGTCCAGGACCACCTGCAGCTTTTCCCAGCAGCTTCCCAAATGGATCCCATCCACACACCTTTCTTGGTCCAGCCAAAGCTTCCTCACCACTTCACCCATCACCTTGTGTTTCTTCTGCACCTTCCTCCTCTCAGCAGAGGGACACAGGGAAGTTGACATCCTCCATCCCCTGGCATAGTGATTTCAGCCAGGCTTCAGCTTTCCCTGCCAGTCCCTCTGGCACCCTGCTTGACATCCAGACAGATGCAAGGATCATGCTCATCATCATGGGGCGTTAACACAGACCCTACTGTGGAGGGGACAGGCAGTTTATTAATAGGGCTGATGTTCTCATATCAGTAATGTCCAGGTTGCTTGGCTAAGTGGCACAGAAGTAATGTGTGATAAGAAATATTATAAAAGAGAATAAGCTCTCTATTATTTCCTTTCTTAGCTCTCATTTCTGTGCTTACTTCTGCACACTTACTGTTTCTGTGTTTCAGGCAGCAGTGGGGTGAGCAGGAGCACACACAGCCTCCCTGCTCATGGTCCTCCATTGTGTTCAGCAGAGATTGAGGTGTGGGGGAGCAGCTCCCCTGCTGCTGCAGAGAGTGTTTGAAATCCAGCTCCTGTGGGAGGTATATATTAGGTTTCCCTGTACCAAAACCTCAGCTGGTGTAAACCTCTTGTGTAAACCACAGAGGTGGAGAGAGCAAGCAGCTCTTTTGTGTGCATCAGGGGAGTGGGGCTGAGCAGCAGAGCCATGCCTATATTACAACCGAGCATGTCCTTGCTTGCTCCAAGCAACCTCTGTCTTTCCTCTTCCCTGGTCACTCCGATACTGCACATTGAAGCAGCAGTTTCTGGATTACGAGGCAAACCATTCTCTGACACAGCAAAACCCCATCCTTTGCCCTTCCTCCTCCCCCAGCCCCAGCACATGCTCCTGCTCCCTTCAGTGCTGAAGAAGGGGCTTTCACCCCCCTGGTACCACTGGGATGGGGTCAGAGGGTGGCTCTGCCCCAACTCTGGGTTCCCCGGCACTGGGTGGGTGGGAAGGTGGGAGGGACGGCCGGGGGCAGCGCCATCAGCTTGGGCAGGGCGCAAGCAGCACTGCCTCGGCAGCAGGGTGGTTAATGGGGGCGATTAGGGCCTGTGGCTCAGACGTGGGGGAAGAAGGGCACAAGGAGTCATCCTCGCCCTGACACGTCACCCCCATCGCACAGTGGCTTGGCAAAGCTGGTACCTGAGTAAGAAGGTCAGGGCACTCCCTGGTTCCTGGCTCCCAAGATGTTTTGCTGATGCAAAGTGAGCACAAAGGCCAGGCAGAGGCTCCAGGCTCAGCTCTGCTAGACCAGATCAGCAGCAACAGCTCGGGAGGCCGTGGCTGAAATGCAGCATGGCCACAGATCCCCAGTGACCCCTGGCTTAATTCTGTTTTCTCAATGCAATTCAGAAACTTCATTTAAAACCAGAACTAGAAAAGCCCCTGGATTCCTGTGCTTTTGGGAGTGGTTTTTCCATTCCATGCTATAGATACACTGAAACTCTGGAGATTGACTTGGGCTTGCTAGGAAACACCAGGACCAAGTTAGGGAAAATGTTGATGAACCACCAAGCCCTGCCAGCCCACGCTCAGCCCCGCTCAGTTCCAGTTCAGCTCCTGGCTATCACAGTGAAGCATCCCAAGCTCCCACCTGGATAATCAACCTCTCCCATGCTCAAAGCTCAGGCGGCCTCCACTTTTTGGTGAGACATGAGGAAGGTTCCATAGCAGTTAGAAGCTTTCTCAGGATGCAGGAGATGCCAGCTCAGAGCAGCCATCATCTGAAGACACACCAACACGTGCAGCACATCTTAGTCACCCAGCTTCAAACCACTTTCTCTCCACTGGTTTCATCTGATGTCTTCCCTGGTTTACATGGGATGACGCAGATTAGAAGAAACCCCAAAGTGGATTTTGAGAAGCTGCTTCTAGCACTGCAGCAGGATCCAGCCACCCCTGCACCCTTCATCTGTGATTATGGAACAGAAAATGAGATTCAGTCCTGCCATTACTGCAACCAGGCACACAACTCACAACCACCCCTTCATTTGCTCCTCTGCTTGGAAACACCAACTTGGATCATTTTCCTGATGCAAGAGGGCCCAGAACCACAGCAATCCCTCTGCTCATCAGGAGGTGCCAGCAGCAGCAGCAGTGATGGACACAAACCACCAACCCTGATGAGCACTGTCCTCATGATGCAGCTTCTCTAAAAAGAGGAGAATCAGTGTAAATCCTTCCCACGCCAAAACTTCCTGGGAAAGTGTGAACTTTTGTGACACTGTTGGATGCTACGAAGCTCCTGCAGCCTGGGGCAGGGTTTGAGGGTGGGAGGAAGGAGCCCAGAGCTGGGTTTTGTTTTGTTCTGCTGCACTGAAAGTGATAGCACTCAGGGCAGGCAGGAGTGTGTCCTGCAGCTCAGACCAGTGCCAGGGGGAGGCTGGTCAGACCAGGCTTGCCAAGCTTTGTCCCCCAGTGCCAGCACTGGAAAGGCAGTAAGGTGAGATGTCCCCGCTGGAGGCTGCATGCAGTCCCCAAGGTGCACAGCACAGACAAGGCCATGCCCTGCTTTTACCTGCGGGGAGCTGAGCACTGGACCTGTCCAAGGAAGCCACTGCAAAGTATCAGGACTGCCTCGATGAGACACGTCCACTCTCAGCTTTGGCCAAGACAGGAGGACATGCCTGGTGCTGTCCTGGAAAGGCTCAACCCCTGCCCTGGGAGGGATCGCAGTGCTGCAGGACCTCTCGGAGCTTGGCTGACCCAGCTGCTGAATGAGGATGTCCATGCAGGAGCCTTCTGTGCCATGACGAGTGGGGTTGGGATGCTGGTGCTCTGCCAGGCATCTCTGCTCTCCCCCAGCCTGCCCAGGAGACACACAACTCACCTACCAGCAGCTGTAACAGCTGTTAACACTTCCAAGTGCCATCTAAAGATTAATTCTACCACCACATAACAAGGCCATTAAGGCTCATTATCTCCACTCCATAGTGGTTGGGATCGCAGTGAGCCAGCCCTTGGCTTAAGCCTGTATGGCAAAGCAGCTCAGCCGGGACTCGAGCCCCAGGCTCACCACCAACCTCGGCGGGATGAACCCTCCTGTCCCGCTGCAGGGACTGCTGAGGACCTCACCCTGCTCCCTGCCTCCGGAGCTGCAGCGGGATTGCTGCTGGCACCGAGGGCACACGGCCTCTGGAGCTGGCCCTGGCAGGCTGTGACTTCCCCTTGCAGCCAGTGACAGCAAGAGGAGGAATGTTTAAAATAACCCAGCAATGCAGGAGCTGCGTCACGGGTTGTTCTGGCTCCGCAGCGGGCTGAGGATACTTGGGCTGAGGCTGTAAACAGGGAGGCTTGGACCAGCATCACCCTGGGGAGCAAAATCTGGGGCCTAGCACGAATGAAAGCACGGAAAGATGGATACAGCATGTGCTGTCCGTCCCTTTATTTGGCTTGAATTGTGAAGAGCTCCTCACAGAGCAAGGAGGCTCTGGCCATGGCATGGAGCGTCACAGCAGGGGCTGCCCTGGGCATGGGCAACAGCCTCAAACTGTGTGCATGGGGTCTAGGTCCTCTCTCCCTGTCCCCTGCAAACTGTTCTTTTCCTCCCTGCTCCGAAGCCAGGGGAGGCTCAGGCTCGCCTATGGCATCGCTCCCATTTCCCCGTGTGGGATACACTGCGTCCCCACACGCCACCTCCCTCCTGGCAGAGCGGAGTATTTTGGAAAGTGTTGGGAATGCTGCAGTGAGTCACAGGCAGCTGCAGGGCCTGGCAGACTCCATTGGCCTCTGGCCACCCCCGCGGTCACAGCACCCCCAGGGCAGCCCCCGGCACAGCCCCATAGCCTGGGGCTGTGGCCGTGTTTGTGGGGTGATGAGTCCCCCTCTTTGTCCCCAGCATCTCCAGCAAGGAGCTGACTGAGCTCATCGAGCGCCTGCAGAAAAATGCCGACCAGGTGGAGAAAAACATCGTGGAGGCTGACTCCCGGATGCAAAATGTAAGCACACGGGCTCCTCCGAGCAGCCCTGTCCCTCCCGCTGCAGCTCTCCCTCTTTGCTGCCATCTCCTCTCCTCCAGTACACGTGTGTGTGGCTGCCCTGCCCTGTGGTGGGGCTCCAGGCTGTGTTGAGGGGTGCATGGGTTCCCCCAGCTCATGGCAGGGTGCAACAGGCAACAGGGCCCCAGAATTCTTCCCTACACAGGGCTGGGCAGAGCTGGGATGTGCATCCCTGGATGTGCATCCCAGCAGGCATGCAGCTAGGATGGAAGAGAGTGGGCTTTAGCCATCCTCCTCTTCGAGAGGGTAAAATGCAGCCCAAGGTAATGCAGCCCCCCAGCCACAGCCCTGCCTCAAGGCTAGCACAGGGGAGGGAAAGCAAAATACATCACTGGGAGGATGGGATACAGCAAAGCTCCTGCCCATCTGTGGTGCCCAGGCACAGTGTGGTGGGATGACCTCTTATTTGTTTTCCCCTGGTGACCCTTCCTCCTGCTCTCTCCTGGGCAGGACTTGCACAAGATCAAGGCATGCCAGGTAGCACAGTACAAAGACCTGACCGCGCAGAAGCTCACTGAGTCTGACAAGCTGCTCTATGTGCTGGATGGGGACGCAGCCATCGCCCGGCACATGAAGCACCCCCAGGGTGACATGATCACAGAAGAGTGAGTACCCCAGAGCCTCGCAGGGGGAAAGATGCTTCTCCAGGGGCACTGCTCAGCTCCTGCCTGCAGCTGGCAGGTCACCACAGGCTTCTTTATGTCCCAGTTCACATGAAGGTGCATCACCCACAGCCGTCCTTGGGCATGTGTAGAGTGAGAACGGCTCCATGCCTGCTGACAGCAGCTCTGCACAGAGCATGGAGGGTGGCATCTGCCCATGGTGCGGGTAGACCACTCTGTCCCCTGCTCCAACCTGCCCCGAGTGGGTCAATATGCTGAGCAGCCCTGGGCTGTACAGGAACCACAGGATGGGTGCACAGGAACCTCTGCCCTCTCCCTCCCCAGCCCATTGCACAATGCAGCTGCTGCAGCCCGCCTGCAGCGCTGGGCTATCCAGGGGCCCCTAAGAACAATCTCCCCCCTCCATAAGGGCCTGGGAGAGGATCACCTACAGCTCCCAGTGCTAAAGCTGGTCCATACCCACATCCTGCATCCCACCCTCATCTTTCCCTTCCTGCAGCATCCGGCAGCTGAAGGAAAGAGTGGCAAACTTGCGCGTGAAACACGACCAGATCTACAGCTTCCCCCTGCAGCATATTGAGCCCCAGGTCAACTGGACAACAGTGATTGAGGAGAAACAGGTACCAAAGGGACCATCAGTGACATTGCCTGGCC